TTGTGGGATCTAGGATTGAACTCAGTGGGCAGTCGTGTACGCACCCCCTTGAACTTTCTTGAATCACCTGGCCAGCACTGCACTTCCCCACTAGAGTTGGAACATCCTCCTGGTTATATAACCAGTTCCAGGCCAGCCAGGACTACATGCTGAGACCCTATCTCAAAGAAAGAAAAAGTTGGACTGTCCCAAAGACCAACCGTTTGACTTCTATATCAACCTTCACCTCCTTGGAGATCTCATTCTTGCAAATGCCCACATTGACATCTCAGGCCAGGCCTTGACTCTGAACCCAGTTCTTATCCAGTTGTGTGCTAGACCCATACCTCTTTAATGTCGGCTTCCTACTTAAAAATGCCCTGCACTGAACTCCTGATTGTCTCTCCCAGTGTCTTCCTCAATAGAGCTAGTGACGTCTCACTCTTTCCTGTTCTTGGAACATAATTTGGCATCATCCTTGATTCTCCCACCCCCCACATCATATGGACCACCAGCAATTATTTTTGAAGAAGATATGCACCTAGAACCCAGCTGACCACTTCTCATCATCCTTTGCTTCCGTCCTGGTCCACTCTACCACCACATCTTGAAACAGCCTCAGGACATCTGAACTCCTTACTCCCCTGTTTGCTCAAGTACAGACTTTTCTTGACTTGTGATGGGATTGTGTTGGTAAATACATCTTAAGGTGAACATACCAGAAGTGGAAAATGCCTAAATCCAACCACCCATCTACACATCCCAGTTTAGCGCCACAGCAACTGGAGTCTGTAGTTTACTTAGTGATCTCAGGACTGACTGGAAGCTACAGTTGCTGCTGATGCCCAGCATCTTGAGGTGTGGTGTGTGTCTCTCTGTGTGTGTGCACCTATGTGTGTGTCTGTGTGTTGCAGGGTCTTGCTGTATAGCCCAGAATAGCTTTAAACTCAAAGTTCACTTGATTCGGCCTCCTGAGTACTGGTGTGCACAGCTCCTTTTAAACTTTTAAAACAAGTCAGTTCACATCTGTAATCTAAAACTTTTCATCACGCCCAGCTTAAAAACGCAAATCCTGCCATGGCCTCTGAGGCGCTATGTATGCAATGAGATCACCCCTCTGACCTCCCTTCTCTGACCTCATCCTCTGCCACCCTTTCCTGCCACCTCCGAGCTAGTGATGCCATCCTGTTCGTTCATCTGGACCTGCAAACACACCCCAGCTCTGCCAGGAACCATTCTTCCAGGTACCTCCCCTCACCTCCTGCAGTGCCCAGGTGAGATAGTCCCTGGTGGTGCTTTCAGATTTCTGCTGCCTCCCAGTCCCCACTTCCTACTCAAGGCCCTTCTTCCTGCTACTTCCTCTTTCCCAGCACTTCCATTAGTGGGCTGTATTCTGCCCACTGTAAACTCCATCTGATCTGGAGCTAGAGTGGTGCCTGGCATACTGCACATCTCCAGCCACCTGCTGTGGCGCTTGTATTCACCCCATAGGAAGCACCGCTGACCTTTACCTGGAGTTTGTCAGTAGCATATGTCAGCTTTTTTGGTAGTCAACAGCTAACACTTATCAGGCTCTACAGCGTGCCAAGATTACAAAGGTTCCCAGAGCGTGAAGTTCATCCTGTCAAGTGCAAACAGTGCACTGCTGCTGATCAGCACTGCTTCTCCCACTTCCCTGCAAACAACGGACGTCCATCCACATGCTGAGATACACCAGCAAGACCTGGGTTAGCATCTAGTGACCCTCCCAGGCCTTGGGATGAAGACAGAAGCAGGGTCTTGCTTGGTTTTGTCCTTTGCTCCCATGCACTCTCAGCCACTCCATGCCGGCCTGCACATAGGAGATGATGGTCCAGCAATGGAGTTGGCTTGGAAAAAGTCCCAGGGGGAGACTCTCTTCACACTTCTGTGTCCTTGGGCTCCATAGCTGCGGATTTAACCAAACGTGGCCTGAAAAATAGTTGACAGAAAAGTGCCTGACTTCATGTGTGCAGACTTTTCCTGTCATTATCCTCTAAACCAGCAGTTCTTCAACCCTTTGGGGCTTGAAGGACCCTTTCCACAGGGGTCGCCTAAGACCATTGGAAAACACAGGTATTTACATTATGATTCATAACAGTAGAAAAATTACAATTATGAAGTAGCAATGAAATAATTTTATGGTTGGGGGGCGTGTCACCACAACATGAGGAACTGTATTAAAGGGTCTCAGCATTAGGAAGGTTGAGAACCACTGCTTTAAACAATGTAGTATGAGAGTCATGTATAATAGCATTTTTGTTGTGTAAGTCATTTTCAGATGATCAAGGCAGGATCTACAGATATGGGACGATGGATATAGGTTCTGTGCCAATGCTGTGTCATGCAAGGAACATGGCCACCTCCTGGGACGGGAGCAGGAGGGCCCTGGAGCTAATCCCTCACTGATGCAAAGGGCCACTTCATTTGCTGTTTCTGTATCAGTGCCTCTAGATTGTGACAATTTCTTAGACTTTCCTTGTTCTTGGTGACCTTGACAGTTTCGAAGAACACCAGGCAAGAAGTTGAATTCTGTTTGTTCTCCTAATATTTTGCTCCTGATTAGACAGGCTGTTGGGGGGAAGGGCTTAGAGGTCAAGGGCCATTCTCATCTCGGCACATCCTGGGAGTGAACAGTCAGTATGACTCACCGTTATTGATAGTAACCTTGAACAACCTGGCTAAGGTCCTGTTTGCCTGGCTTCTCCATGGCTGAGTTACTCTGTTTCCTTCCTTACTATACTTTTGAGAGTAGCTCTGCATACGTTACATTAGGGATGGATGGAAGGTGTATTCGGGGTCAGATCTGATAGAATGAATATATATGAATATATATATATATATATATTATCTATCATATAATTTATTAGAGTGTGGTATAATTTATAGACTGTGGTACAGCTAGTTCAACAGTGACTGTCTCCCAAAGGAACATCCAAGAATCTAGTAGTTGTTCAGTCCATGAGGTCTTTAGTGTATGCCAGAATCCCAAAGAAGGAGGCTCTAATCCCAGCAAAGGAATGGACTTGCCAGTGAGAGTGAGGGCAAGCAGGCAAAAAGCGAGAGCTTCCTCCTTCCACGTCCTTTATAGAGGCTGCTAGCAGAAGGTGGGGCCCAGATTAAAGGTGGGTCTTCCCACCTCTAAGATCCGGATTAAAGATGGGTGTTCCCACTTCAAATGATTCAGTTAAGAAAAACCCCTCACAGGTATTCTCAGCTGCTTGGATTTTAGTTATTTCAGATGTAGTCAAGTTGACAACCAAGAATAGCCATCACAGAGTATGACCTCATGTCCCTGAGGGTGGTGTAGCTGCCTGAATTATTAGAATTCTTCCACAAGGGTACTTTTATTTGTTTATTTGTTTTTATGTAATGAAAGCTGGATTTCATTGCCTTGGCCCCTGAGCACTCTCCTAATGGTTGTATGGTTCTCTTTGACACACTGGGCCAGCCAGGCATCTACCTTAGCACTTCCTGGCTTTCTGGTGTTGCTGACTGCTCCAGGGTCATCTTTGATCTTGCATGCTCAGTCCTAGAACTATTCATTTCTCCAAAGTGTCCTGCTTCCTTTGATTAAAGAATGGGATTAGAAGCCAATTTGGACCCTGGATGTGTTCTGGACTTTTTTTTTTTATGGATATATCTTACTGTGTAGCCCATGCTGGCCTTGAACTCAGGACTCTCTTGTCTTGACCTTCAAGTTCTGGGATAACAGGTATATTATATGTATACCATGCATCCAGCTGTGTTTTATAACATTGTTTTTAGTCCTTTGGAAATGGTGACTTTTTGTCCTTTTGATTTGCAGTGAGTCTGGAAGGGTGGATGGATTATAGAGTAAAGACTCTTGCTCAGGTCGTAGCTCATCTGCTTAGAGTGTAGTCTAGCACCGGAGAGGTTTGACTTTGGTCTTCAGCACTATGCAACTGGAATGGTGGCACATAAGCCTGGAATCACAGCACTCCAGAAGTGGGAGCAGAAGAATCAGGAGTTCAAGGTTTCCCTCAGCTCCCTGGCCAGCCTGGGCTGTTACGGAGACCTTGTCTGGAAGCAAGAAAAACAGAAATTAGACCTTGGGGGTGTTTCTTAGAGAAGCTCACACACATGCTGTCTGGTGTATCTTTCTTTCTTGGTGCCTTTCTCTCTCTCTTTAACATTTTAACCTTTTTAAAAAAATTATTTAAGTTTTATTTTATGTACATTGGTGTGAGGCTGTCAGATCTGGAACTGGAGTTGCAGATAGTTGTGAGCTGCCGTGTGGGTGCTGGGGAATTGAACCCGGGTCTTCTGGAAGAACAGTCAGTGCTCTTAAGTGCTGAACCATCTCTTTAGCCCCGCCTTTCTTTCTCTTAACCTGCATGCTTGGAATCTATATTAAAATTATCTTTTGATAAAAAATCCCTACTCTTCTTTATAAAAATAAAACAGAACCTAAAACAAAGAGTAAAGACTCTTGAGTCAATCTCCTGGCTTCATCTCCTAGTCACAGCACAAGCAGCCTGCCTGAGATTAATCCCTTAATGCCTTCCTTTCCTCAAGTATAAAAGAGAAACCGATAGCATCTACTTCTAGGGTATTGCAAAGATTAACAGAGGTGAGACCTGAAAAGTGTCTAATGGTGTCTGGCACCCATTCCGTGCTTGGATGTGGGGATAGTGGCAGTCATTATCTGGGGGCAGACGGTAGACAGGGAAAATGCAGCTGTCCCTCAGCACTCATGAGCGAGGGCTTCTGAGGTCCCCTCTGGGTATCAACATAGATGCTCAAGTCTCTTGTGTAAGTCGAAGTGGCAGTGTTGCAGAAGTGACACACACCTTCCCTTGAAATCCTTCTGGATTCCGTGTACACAATCCAACATAAAGTCTATGTAGGCTTTTCAGGTTATTTATTAAAGGTTGTAAGAGGGGGATGTTGTATAATTTTTATAGTTGCTTTATATGAGACACGAAAAGTGATTGGATCGATAAATGACTTGAATCCTTTTTATTGGCTTTTCTCCCCAGTGGACTCATTGGCCGGAGCTGGGCTATGCTGTTTGCCAGTGGAGGCTTCGAGGTGAAACTCTATGATGTTGAGCAACAGCAGATAACAAATACCCTGGAAAACATCAGGTAGGTGTAGCACGAATCTTAAATGGTCTTATTAATAAAACAAACCCAAGGCCAGTTATTGGGGTGAATGCTGGAAGATCAGAGAAGCAGAACCAGCCACAGCTTCCTCACCTCGCCAATTCCTCAGGTGATCCTGTTTCCTCCGACTGGAAGCCTCTGAGTTCTTATCCAAACAGATCTCAGCTGAACTGCTGCTCAAAGCCTAAAAGCTTAACCAGCCAAATGCTTCTAGTTTCTGGTCCTCACGCCTTATATATCTTTCCGCTTTCTGCCATCACTCCCTGGGATTAAAGGTTCACTTTCTGGGATTAAAGGTGTGAGTCACCATGCTTGGCTGTATCCTTGAAAACAGAGATTCAGGTAGATCTCTGCCTCTGGAATGCTAGGATTAAAGGCGTGTGCTACCACTGCCTCTATGTTTAATATTGTGGCTGTTTTGTTCTCTGACCCCAGATAAGTTTATTAGCGTGCACAATATTTCGGGGAACACAATACCACCACAGGTAGGTCCTGCTTGCACACCTGGAGGTCATCCGATGGCCCTGCTCCTCTCAATCCATCACTGATCAGGTCCTCCAGGCTATGACTTACCTGTAATTGCCCATTTTCATGAGATAGCTCTTGTAACCCTGAGAAGATAAAGGCCAGGTTTAAGGTTCACAGGAACAGCACATGAATCTAGACAGGCGAAGAGACTCCTATTATGAAGAAAGCTTTTACATTAGCAAATATGGGGGCGGGGGTGGAAGACCCAAATGTGATGTTACCCTTCAGTCCCATGTGGTGCCTCTGCAGCTATTTACATGTCCGTTAGGGTGACAGTTTTGCTGGCAGCTCTTGATTTAAGATCTAGAGAAGTTGTAGACTCATAGCAAAATTGAGAGGATGGTATAGCGATTCTCACATGCCTCCAACTTCTCAAATTCAATGTTTCCCACCTTCAACATTCCTCTCCCACTGGTCATTTGTTACAATAGATGAAGCTACCTTGATCCATCATTGTCTCCTAGAGCCCTTGGTTGACATTAGGGTTCTCTTCTGGTATTGCATTCTGTGGGTTGTCCTCATGTGTGCCCACGGTTATAGGATAATACTGAATAGTATTTTTACCTCCTGAAAAAATGCTCAGTGCTCTGCCTGTTCATACATCCCTCCCCAGGCCCTGGCAACCGCTGATATTTTTACTATCTCCATGATTTGTCTTTTTCGAGAGTGTTACATAGTTGGAATCTTTCATTTAGCAATGTGCATTTAAGCTTCCTTCATGTATTAATGACCTACCACACTTTAACACTGACTAATAGTCCATGGCCTGGACTATTCATTCACTTTCTGAAGAGCAGCCTTGGTTGCTTCCAAGTTTTAGAAATTATGAATAACGATGCTATAAATATTCATGTGCAGATTAGTGTGGACATGTTTCAACTCCTTTGAATAAATACTAAAGATCATGACTTCCTGGATTAAATGGCAAAAATATATTCCATTTTATAAAGAGCCTTCCAAAGTGGCTATACTGTTTTGTATTCTCACCAGCAATAAGTCGGAGTTCCTGGTGCTCTGTACCCCTGCCAGCATTAGGTGCAGCCAGTGTTCTGGGCGTTAGTGAGCCACAGTGTGTGTCTAACGGTGCCACCTTGTTTTTGATCTGCTGATGGCATGCGACATGCGTCAACTCTCCACATGACTTTTTGCCATCTGTATATTCCAGTCCTTTCTTCGGTGCTGAGGATCGAACCCAGGGTCTTGTATGTGTAAGCATGTGCTCTACCAAAAGTAGATCTAATTTCTTTCCTTCTTTCCATTAAAAACATGTTTCTGGCTAATGGGTGAGCCTTAAAGATTTTCATTTGCTGTGACTTCCTGGTGCAAGAGTAATTATTCTAACTCAGAATCCCATGTAAAGATTTTGTAAAGTGACTCCTCAGAAATTCTGGTCTACCATATTTCTGGGAGTAGAAGTTTTCAGAGATGATTTAAAGGAATTAGTCAAAGTATAGCAGTTGGATCCCTCACCAGAATCTACAGATGCCCAAGTTGCCTGTAGGAATGTGGCATAGCATCTATATTGAGCCTGCTCATCCCCGGTGTCTTTCCACCATCTCCAGGTGGCTCATTATTATATGGAAGTAGTTGTGCTGCATACTTTAAGGACAATGACAAGAAAACAGCCTGTGCATGTTCCATACAGATGAAAAACATTTCTTGATCATTATTTTCCACCTGCAGTTGGCTGAACCTGAGGATGCAGATCCTGAAGATGGGAGGAACAGTAATCCTTTGTGTCAAAGTCATCTTCTAGTCCCACATGAGTAGTTTATGTAAGAGCTTTGCAGACCTTGCTTTGGAAATGGTAGCTGGCCAAAGTATCCATTGCCATAGGTTTTAGGGTCAAAGCCTGGGCTCCGCTGCCTAACAAGCTAGGCTCAGTAACTTATTATAGCACACCAATTACAGACACAAGTTATAGTGGAAAGCAGAGGAAGGAGATTTATTCAATGTGGCCATATGGGGAAGAGAAACAAATAAAGTGTAGTGACCCCCAAGTCTGTTTTTTGGGATCCTTACACAAGATTTAGGTTTAAACCGAGGGCAAGTGTTATGCATAACTGAGCAGTCCTGGGCAAGGTGTGGTCCTGCCCATCACTGAGCCTTTATCATCTAGCTTCTGGTCCTACAAGGTGGCTTGGTGAGCTAGCAGAGTCACAAAGTCACTTCTGGGGAGCCAAGTTCCTCCTTGAGTTGGTACCAGGACTTCAGCCTTTGCTTTCCCTCAGCATGAGGTTCCCAGGGAAATTTCAATTTTTGGAGATCCATTGTCTCCAAGTCTGATTGCTGAGCGGAGAAGCACTTGTGTCTGTCTTACCGTATCTCCCTCCCTGACGGGGTGGTTACACGCCTTGGCATTGTACCCTTGGATGGTGACAGCTTTTCAGCAGGCCTAGACTTGTCACTGGTTTTCTGGGGTTTGTGGTTGGTGACCCTGGAGCTGAGTGACGTGAGCTTCAGAACTGTCCTAGTGTTGGCCTCAAGTCACCGAAGCTGCCAGAAGCTAATGCACGGGGATTGCTGCTGTGAAATGACAGATTAGGGTTCTCATGGCCCCCGGCATTTCCCTGCCAGTTTTGTGGGGAGTGCCCGCTGCTCTAGGCAGGGGCACTAGTAGGTTCGAGCTATGCATTTTGTTTTCAGTCATCTGAATGTCTCAGTGTCACACAAGCTCTGTGCCAGCCACTACAGATGACACGTCGTGTCTCAGAGCCTGGAATATAATTGGTTCTAGGTCTTAGTAAGTTTCAGTAGGACCTAAGACTCATCATGGTGTAGCTAGAGTTTTCCTGCCTGGCCCACAGTCAGGACAAATCTCTCTTACCCGCCAGTCCCACAGTCGCTCAGACCCAACCAAGTAAACACACAAAGACTTTTATATTGCTTGCAAACTGTGTGGCCGTGGCAGGCTTCTTGCTAACTGTTCTTATATCTTAAATTAACCCATTTCTATTAATCTATAAGTTGCCACGTGGCTTGTGGCTTACCGGTATCTTAACATGTTGCTTCTCATCACTGTGGCTGGCACTGTCTCTCTGCCTCAGCCTTCCACTTCCCAGAATTCTCTTCTCTGCTTGTCCTGCCTATACTTCCTGCCTGGCTACTGGCCAATCAGCATTTTATTTATACAGAGTGATATCCACAGCATCATGTAGCCCAGGCTTGCCTCAAACTTGGGACAGTTCTCCTCCTAAGATCCCTCACTCCCACTCCCCACTGCAGATGTAAGACAAGATGCCCAGCTTCTGAGATCCTCAAAAGAGAACTCTCCTGGTGATACTTACTTTCTTGCTTGCTTTTTGGGTTCTGATATTTTTCATAGATCTCCCTCCCTCAGTCATTTGTTTACTTACTTACTCCCCACATTCTGATTCTTTGTTTGTTTGTTGAGACAAGGGTCTCAGTAGCCCAGGCTGGCCCTGAATTCTATATGTAGCCATGGATGGCCTTGAACTTCTGATTTTCCTACCCCTGCTCTCCAGATGCTGGGATCACAGGAGTATGCCACTGGGCCTGGCTTTATTCTGAAAATTTTGTTCTTTATTCTTTATTCTTCTGAAAATTTTACAGCAGGAAACATCCTGGTGAGCTGGCTCGGTGGTTAAGAACACTTGCTACTCTTAAAGAATGCCTGTGTTGAGATCACCCATCTCAGACAGCTGACGACTGCATGTAACTATAGCTCAGGGCACACAACCCTCTTCTGGCCTCTTCAGGCACCAGCACTCACGGCACACACACACACACACACACACACACACACACACACACACACACACACAATCTATTTTAGACAGTCTTAGAAATCCCTTGTATGTTAGATTGACCCCTAGGCCAGTGCCCCTGAGCTACATGCCCCTCTGAGCTACATGCCCCTCTGTATTTTCAGAGATGTTGTCTGTTTATGTTTATCTGTTTATGGCCTTAAACTTGCTGTGTAGCCCAGGCTAGCCTAGAATTCACAACCTTCTTGTCTCTTCCCACAAAGTCCTGAGGTTACAGGTATGCACTGCCTTTCTTGGTACCTAATCTTAAATAGTAGAAATAGTTCACATTGATTTGGAAAATGTAAAAACAAATGTAGAATAGGAGAAGTTGAGTTTTTTTTTTAATATTATGACAGGAGCTAGGCATAATGAGTGACTCACATCTGTAATCCCAGAATTTGGAAGCTGAGGCAGGAGGATTATGGTAAATTCCAGGTTAGGCTGGGCCACAGAATGAAACCCTGGCTCAAAAAAAACAAAACAACAACAACAAAACCATTAAAAAAGTTGTTATCATAACTCATACCATGTGACAGCAGCTCTTAGTGCATGGGGAAAAAATGTCATCCAAGAGTGATCTTTTCCTAGCAGGGAGGCAAAGTGAGAAACTTGTCACCGTCTCAGGTGGAGGATATCTCACGGGGAGAGGCCTTGCCTGTGCCTGCCTGCTTCGCCTTTGTTCTG